CCGCACACCCACTCCCAGCTCTGGTCCCAAACACCTTGCTGTTGGAGGGGCTTGTTTTAAAGACGGACCCCCGCAAGCACCTCCTCCTGCAGGCCAGCTCGCACCCACGATGCCCACCCTCGTGCCATGCCCACCCACCGTCCGGGCCGAGGTGCGGGTGGGGGAGAGGAAGTGCCAGCCGGTTGCCTGCGCCCTGGCTCCGTGGTGCCACGCTCTCTGCACCAGGAGTGCCTGTGGCATATCTGCGCACGCAACCTCCTCTACCCCAGGGAAGGGCTGTTGTACCCAGTTTGCTGATGAGAAAACTGAGACTGGGAGGTGGAGAACAGTAACTTGTCCAACAGACAAAACCTGTGGTTGGGCAGGGGGTGGGTCTGAAGAAGTCAGAAAAAAAGGGAGCGATCTGAGGTGTCAGGGTGACAGCTGTGTGTGGGGGAACCCCCGCCTGCCCTCCCTGGACACAGGCCCCCAGACACAGGTTCTGCCAGCTCCCTCCTCAGCCGGGGCTGGGGACAGGCCACTTCCAAGCCCACCCAGATGCCAAGGGGATGGAGTCTCCACCAGCAGACCCGTGGCCCAGAGCCCCCCGCCCCCCGCCCGGGACTGACACCCTAGGGATGGGGGCATCCTCAAGGCCTAGCTCCTGGGGCTGGGGGTGGGGGACCACAACGCCCTTCCCATCAGAGCCATGACCTCTGACCTCTCTGCTGACTTATCAGCTATCAGCCAGGCCTGCCTTCCGGAGGCTTTGTTCCCCTGGAGCCAGGCCCCTTATCTGGGCTCAGCTGCGCTGCTTGAACTCTGGTGGCCGCCCTCAGCCCCTCCAAAGTCAGGGGACCACCCTGGGGTCCCGGAGTCTTCACCTCTGAGTTTGTTGAGTTTCTTTTAACTCTCAGGTGACCCTCCTGGTCCTTGGTCAAAGGTCATTTGCCCCAGCTGTGTTGGCCTGGGGCTCAGGGAGGGGCTGGAAGGGCTGGAGGGGCGGGGTGGGGGGTGGGGGAGCTTGGCTGGAGTGTCTTGGCTCTCTGACTATGTCCGACCTTTGACCTTTGGGGAGCTCTGGCTGTTTTGGGCACCAGCTCCATCCTGGGCATGTCCTGGGGCACATTTACTGGGGGAGATGGTGCAGGGAGGTGCAGGGCTGGGCGTGACAGCAGAGTCTTACTGACCCCGCAGGCCATAGGCAGCTTCTTGGAGGAGGCGGTGCCTGGGCAGGAGTGAGTGGTCAGGTCAGGGGACCACTGGTTGGAGTGAAAGCACCCGGTGGGGGGCTCGGATTGGGCGCCACACAAGCTCCTGTTGGAAGTGGAAGGGGCCTGAGACGCCTGCATTTTACAAGTGAGGCCCAGGTCCTCCATCGCTGTTCTTCCTGCCTGCGGTGCCAGCAGGCGCCCCTGCGGCCTGGCACCCCGGGTCTGTTAGGCGAGGGTGGCACAGTAGCCCTGACTGTAGGGACAGCCATCTTCATGGAGAAGGCCCTGACCTCCATGTGCACTGAACCCGCTCCATGGCCCCGTGATGAGAACACCTGGCTGCCGCCGCCTTGTTCCTGGGGCTGGCCCTCTGAGTTTAGAGGGTGCCTCTGGCTGGGGGACAGGGGGGCCGAGGACTGGGCCCCGACTCCTCCCTGCGGCTGTGAGCTCAGAGCTGTGAGGGTCCCGGAGCCCTGGGAGGGGCAGGTGACACTGTCCCACCCTCCGAGCAGTTTAAAAGCAATTGTGGGAAAAGCCAGCAAGTCCTTTAGCTCATCTGCTGAAACTCACTGGGTGACCTGGCCACAAAGGTCGTGCCCAAGGGCACGAGCCACCACCCCCTCCACCCCACCTCCTCTGTCTTGGGGATTTACCGAGAGCCGGTGGGAGGGAGTGGAGAGGAGGGGGTTGTGCTTTTTCCAAGACTTTGTTGGCCTTTGGCTCCGACTGATTACAGAGAAAGTCCTGTAATCAGTATCTGGGAAGGAGAACAAAGGAGCGAGGACTTGGCTTGCGAGCCCGCGGCTGCTCCTGCTGGTCCTGGAGGGCGCCCAGGAGCGTGGCGGGGGGCCAAGCGGGCTGTGGGGGCCGCAGGAGCACCGAACGCGTGGAGATGAGACGGGGCCTGTGGGGCGGCACCAGGACCTCTTCTGTGGGGCTCACAGCTCCAAGCCACGCCCCCTCCTGGCACTGCCCGAGCCTCCCCAACTCTGGACTGTGGCTGGGGGAGGGCATGGGTCCCTGTCTCAGGTCCCAGCAGGCACCACAGCTAACAGCCCACGGGGTGGTTTGGAGGTTTTCTCATTGGTTAACGGAGAGAAAGGAGACCAAAGTCTCAGACGAGGGCGCCGGGGGAGAGGGTGGTGCCCCCGTGGCTGCATTATTATTCCGTGTTGTCCCCTTTCCTGGGAGACGAGTGTCCTTTCCCGCAGACTCGCTCTGAAAGCGCTCGTACTAAACTTCTACGGCCGGGAAAAGAGGCCCCACAGGCCACTGAACCGGCAGCTGTCACATGCCACAGCCATGTTGGTGAAGGCCAGCAAAAGCCCCCCTCAGGCCTCCCGTCGCTAAATATCCACCGAGGACCAGCTCTGTGCCAGACGCCATCCTAGGTCTAGGGCCTGGCCCTTCCGCCCGTGGGCGCATCCCCGGGGGGACCCAGAAAGAGTAGATCATTACAAATCCAGTCCAACTGGCAGAGAGTCAGGGAGGACTCCCTGGAGGAAGCAGCCTGCCAGCTGGGGTATGAGGAGCAGAAGGCAGTGGCTAGGTTGGTGGGCAGAGGTGGGAGGAGGGTGCTCCAGGCAGAGGGAATGGCATGGGCAAAGGCCCAGGGTGGAGAGAGAACGTGGGACTCCAGGAAGCTTCCAGAAGTTCTGCCCCCTCCTCGAGCTTGGGGAGCACGCAGTGCTGAGGGGCGGCGCCAGCAGCCCCCGTTCCTTCAAGGCGGGGCTCTGTGAGCCACGGGTGCGGGCAGCTCTGCAGGTGAAGTTCTACGGACCAGTTCTCATAGGGGCAGTTGTCTGCCAGCTCGTTTCATACAATGAAAGCTTTTCCTTTTGCAAAACAGTGAATTGTAACAGTTGGGCTTGTGTGGGCTTGTGTGGCTTCTTGTCATGATCTGCGGTGTGGCCCCAGAATACAATGGCGGGAGGGCACCGTGTTGTCAGTTTTCCTGGGATCAGAGACCCTGGAGGGAGCTCAGAGGAGAGAGGGTGTGGCTGGAGGCTAAGCCATCTGTCCCACGTCACCCCCCTGTGCTGTCGCAGGTTGGGGGCCAGGGCTGGCGTCTTCTGGCCGCCACTCTTCCCACCGGCCTGTCTCCTCCACCCCCAGCGGGGCTGCCGTCGAGGCTGGGCCAGCAGGGGCCGGGGCCTGCCGCCCCGCTGTCCCCGTGTTGTCAGGAGGGTCCTACCCTCGAAGGGGCTGGGAGACTGGCGCCCATTCTCAAAGTGACTCGCGAGAGCCTTCCGACCCCCACACCCTCTCGGCTTCTGGTTCCTTAAATACGGAAGGAACGCGTGCTCTGCGCGAGGAGTCATTACAGCAGAAGCGGCCACTCGTGGTCAGTATCGCAGGAGCAGGAACACGGTTACGTCCATCTGACAGGCACGGACACCAAGGCCCAGAGGGTCAGGCAGCTTCCCGGTCAACTCGGGTCGTAAATAGGGGACCAGGACACGGACCCTGTGCTCCTAACCCCTGGGCCGGACAGCACTGTCTCCCACAGGCGGGCTGTGCAGGGAGAGGCGTCCTGCGGAGCGGGAGCCGCCCTGGGCCTCTGAGGGGCTGCAGCGGGCCTGGCAGGAGGGTCCCCAGGGTGGTGGCACCCGCCTTGGTGGAGGTCAGCCGCCGAGCCGGCCCTGCGCTGGGGGGAGGGCTGCTGGTGGGGCGTCCAGCCCAGCGTCCGGCTCGGCCTGCCTCTCCTCGGGCGTGGCCTGAGGCAGGCCCTCCTCGCTGCCCGCTGGGTGGGGCACGGAGCCCCCCACCCTCACCCCAAGGAACCGGAGGCCGCAGTGCGCCTCCCGGGCACGTGGGCCTCCCGTGCACATGGCTTCCCGGGCATGTGGGCCTCCTGTGCATGTGGGCTTCCTGGGCACGTGGGCTTCCCGGGCACGTGGCCTCCTGTTCACGTGGGCTTCCCGGGCACGTGGGCTTCCCGGGCACGTGGCCTCCTGGGCATGTGGGCCTCCTGTGCATGTGGGCTTCCCGAGCACGTGTCCTCCTGTGCACGTGGGCTTCCCAGGCACGTGGCCTCCTGTGCACGTGGGCTTCCCAGGCACGTGGTCTCCTGTGCACGTGGTCTCCTGTGCACGTGGGCCTTCTGGGCATGTGGGCCTCTCTGGCGTGTGGCCTCCCCGGCACAGGGGCTGCT